TATTCTAAAGCTCTATTCCAGGGAGAAGAAATTGTGTCTCCGTCCCCATTTTCGTCTCACTCAAGCGTCTTCCCTCTCTCGTCTGAATCGGGGCTGTTCCAGGGAGAAGAAATCGTGTCTGCGTCCCCGTCTTTGTCTTGCTCAAGCGTCTTCCCCCTCTCGCTCAAGCGTCCTTCGCCGTCCCTCTCCTCCACCATCCGACGTATTCAAGTTAGTGCACCGTCTCCGGCGTCTTCGTCCAGCGTCTCCCTATCCGATTGTTGTCTCTCATCCAGGTAAGTTTATCTGTGGCTTTTGTCCATCTCTTCCTCTATACTTACACATATACATACATATATATATATATATATAAGATTTTGAGAATGCCAAATATGTAATGAAATATAATTTCTGTTAATCTGCTATGGAAATTGTTAATTAACAGTTTTAAGCTCTACAGTTTTAATCTATTAATTAACATATTTCTGTCAAAATTAACAGTTTTAATATGTGTTCAAAATTTCTGTCCAAAATCTGCAAATTAACATATTATAACAATTTACAGTTTGGATAGTCCAAATCTGTTAAATTGTTTCGGAATCTGTATATTGTTTGGGAATGCTAATCTGTTAATTAACAGTCCAAAATCTGTTAATTAACTGTCCAAAATCTGTATATTGTTAATTAACAGATAATATGACAGTCCAAATCTGTTAAATTGTTATAAATTGTTAATCTAATTTTGGACAGATTTTGGGTTAATCTGGTAACTTGCATTGTTAGAAATTGTTATAATCTGTTAATCTGGTAATTGTTAGAATTTGAAGCTCTTACAGATTAGAAATTGTTACAATTTGAAGTTCTGTTAATTTTTGAAAGAGTAATATGTTATAGTCTGTTGAAAGGGTAATATGTTATAATTTGTTCAAGAGCTTGCATTGTTAATCTGTGTGTATATGTGTAAGTATAACAGAGTAATAACATAATAACTTGGTTCTATTATTCTATTAATCTATTAAATCATTTGATTTAATATGGTATTTTTGAATGAGCAGAAATGGAGAATGGTTCAAACAGTGCTAAGAATCCTTTATTAAATCAGAGTGAAGAAGTTGAGGAACCGAAGAGGGGTATGTGTTTTAGCTCAAAGCAAGAAGTGCATTCATTTTATGCCAAATATGCTAAACATGTTGGATTTTCCATAGCTTATAAAACTCAAGTTTGTGGCGATGATGGGGAATTAAGATATTTTGGGATTGAATGTTCTCGATCGGGAAAGAGAATCAAAAAATCAGAAGTAAACCCTCTAAAGCCATCTTTGTCTACAAAAATTGATTGCAAAGCAAGGGTACGGGCAACCTTACAAAAGGATGGGGGATTTATGTTAACCACAGTTAACCTTGACCATAACCATGACTTGATTCCTACCGACTCATGTCATTTTGCAATGAATAAGAAGATTCTTACTCCTGTGAAGAGAAGATTAGAAATTAATGATCAAGCAGGGATTGGGGTGTCTAGAAATTATCACTCAATGGTTGTTGAAGCTGGGGGTTATGAGTCATTAACATTTGATGAGCGAGATGCACGAAATTACATTGACAGAGCTAGAAAATTAAGGCTTAGAGAAGGAGATTCCGATGCACTTCAAAAATATTTTTTGAGGATGCATGCACAAAATTTGAGTTTCTATTATATGATTGATGTTGATACTGACTTTCGCATAAGAAACTTGTTTTGGGCGGACGCAATGAGTCAGGCTGCTTACAAAGAATTTGGAGATGTTGTTTCATTTGACACAACTTACCTCACTAATAAATATGATATGCCATTTGCTCCGTTTGTAGGAGTTAACCACCATGGACAGTCGATTTTGCTTGGTTGTGGGCTGTTATCTAGTGAAGACACTGATACATTTGTTTGGCTATTCAAATCATAGTTAAATTGCATGTCAGATCATCCCCCAAAAGCTATAATAACTGATCAGTGCAAAGCTATGCAAAATGCGATAGAAATTGTCTTCCCCAATACTCGACATCGATGGTGTTTATGGCATATCATGAAGAAAATTCTGGAGAAATTGAAAGGGTATTCCCAATATGAATCCATGAAGATGGATTTGCAAAATGCAGTGTATGACACATTCACAAAAGATGAATTCGAGATGAAATGGAAAGAGATGATTGCAAAATTCAATCTTTATGAGAATCAATGGTTGGGGGTGTTATATGATGAGCGACAGCGATGGGTTCCTATTTATGTCAAAGATATTTTTTGGGCTGGCATGTCAACGACACAACGAAGTGAGAGTATGAATGCCTTTTTTGATGGATATGTCAACCCAAAGACTACATTAAAATAATTTATTGAACAATATGACAATGCCTTGAGAAGTAAGGTAGAGAGAGAAGAAAGCTGACTTCAAGTCTCGGCACAAAGTCTTTGATTGCCTAACTGTGTATGGTTTTGAGAAGCAATTTCAGGATGCCTACACCAATGCAAAATTCAAAGAAGTTCAAGCAGAGATGAAGAGACTAGTTTATTGTCAGCCGTTTATGGTCAAAGAAGAGGGTTCAATTTGTACATATTTTGTAAAGGAAGCTATGGTACTTTTTGGGAAGATGAAGCATGTGGACTTTGTTGTCTATTATAATTCGACCGAATTTGATGTGCAATGTATGTGCCGGTTGTTTGAATTTAGGGGCATCATGTGTGCTCACTCACTCGTTGTGCTCATTGCAAGATGCATAAATGAGGTTCCACATAAATACATTCTACCACGATGGCGAAAAGATTTGGATAGAGGGTACACATGCATAAAAACCACATACGCTGGCTTTGGGGATGATTTCAATGCAAAGGTGTATGAGAAGATGAACTGAAAATTGGTTGGCATTGTACAATTTGCTGGGAACTGTGAAGGGAAAATAAAACTTATCGACCGTGGGTTGGATGAAATCAAGGCAAAAGTGATGAAAGATGATGAAGGTGGTGGGAGTAATGTAGCACCTATTACTAGTAATGTACCATCTTCCTCAATTGGCAGCATTAATAGACAGGCAATCAGTCATACCAAGTTGCTTAGTCCTTTGGTTGCTCGGCGAAAAGGTCGTCCAGTTACTAAAAAAAAGGTTGCCAAAGTAGATCAAATAGTGAATCGGTTGAAGGCAAGCAAAAGAAAACATAACAAACCAAAGGTAAATTGGTATTCATTACTCTCTATTCAACTCATATTTTATTGTAATCATGTCATACATTTGAGGCATTCATTAACTTTTATGAATATAAGGTACTAAGGTGCTTCGAGGTGAAGGTGAAGGTCAATGTCAATCTCAACCTGAATGTAGTGTACATAGAGAGCTTTATCCTTATGTGGTTGGCATGGAAAATAGTATGTGTGTGCCGGTACGTATACATCATAGGATTTTACATTGAGCAATTTATGTTATTCTCTAATTTATTTTAACATTTCATTTTAATTGAATAAGGACACATGGTCAATGCTATTGGAGGCACATCTCTCACCTCGACAAGTGTGGACATTATGAGAAAACAAAGTTTCATAAATCCCCCAACTCAGATTTATGGAGTTAGCACATCGCTTACCCTGTCGGACTGTATTGGAGGCACACCGGGATTTATGAGAACTCAACAATCCATGACTGTTACGCATCACATTTATGGAGCCGTACCATCTTCATTTGTTGACTTCAATGTACAAATGAACCACAATGACCATGGCGATAGTTTTCGTTAGTTGGAAATTTATAATTGTAATGCCTTTTATGTGACTAAAATTGGAGTTTATTTTGTTTTGGATAATTTATTTAATATATTTTTGGATTGTTCAGTTTCTTAATTTTTTGGTTGAGAACAAATTGATGTTGTTCCCTACTTTGTTGTTATAGTTAATGTTCCTAATTGATGTTATATTTGCGCTCTGTCTGTTACAAATCTGTTACAGATTTAATGTGTTCCAAAAAATCTGTGTCCAAAATGTGTTCCAAATCTGTTACAAATCTATGTGAAAAATTTGTTACAAATCTATTCAAAAATTATGTCTGTATATCTGTCTACACCCAAATGTATGGAAAAATCTGTCTTCAAAAGTGTGTGACAAAAACCTATCTTCGAATCTGTCTTGAAAAACCAGTGTGAAAAATTTGTGTTTTCAAAACTGTGTGAAAAAACAGTGTTCAAAAAAGCTGTCTTTAAAAACCTGTGCAAAAATCTGTCTTCAAAACTATGTGAAAAAAACCTGTCTTCGAATCTATCTTGGAAAACCTGTGTGAAAACAAAGTCTTCAAAACTGTGTGAAAAACCAGTGTTGGAAAAATCTATCTTCAAAAACCTGTGTGGAAAAAGCTGTGTTCAAAAACCTATGTGAAAACTAGATAAACAGAATCTGTGTTGGAAATGTGTCCAAATCTGTCAACCTGTGTTCAAATACACAAGAATGTATGTTCAAATACATAAGAATGTATTTGAACAATCTGTGATGCACCTGTGTTCAAATACACAAATCTGTGAAGCACCAGACAAACAGAATCTATGTTTCAAATCAGTCCAAAATCTGTCGAAATATGTGAAGAAATTCTGTTCATAATATGTGTTAACAAGCTGTCCAAATCTGTGAAGCACCTGTGTTGAAATACAGAAATACATAAACAGAATCTACCATGAAAATTTGTCCAAATCTGTCAAGAATGTGAGAACAAATTTTATTCATAATCTGTCAACAGTATCTCTTCAAAATCTGTCCAAATCTGTCAATAATCTATGTTCAAGCAGACAAACATAATCTATGTTCGAAATCAGTCCAAAATCAGTCCAAAATCAGTCCAAAATCAACCCAAAATCTGTCCAAAATCATTCCAAAATCTGTCCAAAATCATTCCGAAATCTGTCCAAAATCAGCCCAAAATTAGTCCAAATCATTCATAATATGTGTTCAAACAGACAAACAAATAACTTTCAAGCTTCCAATCAGATAACAAACAATCCACATGATTACATATTCATACTTGTCAATCCATAATTGTAATATATCATAAATCTTCATACATATCATCTTCATAATTAATACAACACCAATTACATGTTCTAACTTGTATAAAAATTATTACATCTTCATAATTAATATAACACCAATTACAAGCAAGATGAAGATCCCATTAATACAACACGAATTTCTATTATGTCTCTTTGCAATTTTTGCATCTGCGCATTCTGAAATTGATGTTGTTTGCTTTGAAATCGAAGATGTTCGCCCATACTTTGAAGTTGTTCGGTGATAGTCGGTGTATTCTCCATTCGCACTTGCCCTTCCTCCCTAGGTTGTGAATTTGTAGGCAAGCACCATGCAATAAACCCACTGCAATCAGGACAACAATAAAATGGCTTATTCTTGTTTCGTTCCGTTTCCGAAATTAGAATGATTACTTTTTTCCGAAATTGAGGACAATTTCTGTTGCAATACGTCAATTGATCTGAGGTACTGCCGTTAACACTTGAAGTTGACATCTGCAAAAATATGAAGCGAATTCTGAAGTTGACATTATCACCTATAAATGTAACATCGATTGCCATATATACTTAATTCTATAATCTAACTCATATATTGCTCATTCTTATTAGTTATGTACAGAAATGCAATACTTAGATGAAAGGGCCAAAGGGTTAGTGTTATTCCCACAACAAAATGAGGTTTGGATGGTTGAGCAATATTGGTGTCAAGTTTTACCTACCTAAATGGTAATTAAATTAAATATTAAAAAAAAAAATTGGTTAACCCAAAAAGTCAAATTCCTATGTGCTAGCATTTGATACTAGGTTAGGATTATAGTTGGATAATGATTCACATGGATGGATCATGCCTATGGCTTGACTAATTTTTAGGGTAGTTGTGGTTATGGGTTCCAATTATGATTCATTCTTTTATATCTGTTCATCTTTTTCTTTTTTAATAAAAATTAATTCATAGTGTAGCCTAGTTTAAGGAAAGAGAATGTAGGATGGATTACAAAGGCTAGAGAATCATATTCTATATCAATGCAGGTACTTATTGTGGCTGTGCTCTGAAATTATTCATCAAATTCTGAAGGTAGTGTGCTAAATTTACTAATTAGTTAGTAAAGTAAAGATTTCGATCAACTTGGTAAATGCATCGAATTTCGTTGGTTTGCATCCAGCAACGAGAATGTCTTGATTGTTAATGAGTCTTTAGGCATTTACTTCTGATAAATGTTGTGAACAATGATTCTTCAGGAAATTTTCTGTGCAAATTGACAGGATAGTGACCCTAAGTTCTGTCAAATTCATCAACTTTAATTGAAAAAAAAAATATAAATCACAACACATTTCAATTGAAGTCACTTTGTTTGGAGGAAATAGAACAGTCTAAAGTATGTTTGTAATGGGTTACCTCAGTTTTGGATTGATGATGTATTTGATATACTTATGCAAAAATAGTCATTTAAAATCATGCAAAGAATTCTTCTTTTACCAGCAAAGATGCTACTAGAATAACAAACTTTAATATTTTCATAAAATCCAACCACAAATCTATTAATTTGAAATGCATATCTATCCAGGTGGAGCCTAAGGCCATCCTGCCAAATTGATCTTTTAAATATATTGAAATAATTTGTAGTTAGTGCTGTTGTTTTTTGTAAATGATAAATCCAAATCAAACTTCCTATTGAAAGAAATAGAATCAAACAGAAAATGGGCATTTATAACAGATTTATCTTATTTTGCATTCTGTAACATTTGAAAGGATAATACCTAACTACAAGATCAATATTTAAAACCTTCACCATATGAAACATTGAACCTTAAATCATTCATACAACAGAAAAGGCTAAACCTTTTGCAGCACAAATCATGCCCAGATTTTCCTGTGGTTACACAGCATCTTCTAGCCACTAGATAAATCCAAATCAAACTTCCTATTGAAAGAAATAGAATCAAACAGAAAATGGGCATTTATAACAGATTTATCTTATTTTGCATTCTGCAACATTTGAAAGGATAATACCTAACTGCAAGATCAATATTTAAAACCTTCACCATATGAAACATTGAACTTTAAATCATTCATACAACAGAAAAGGCTAAACCTTTTGCAGCACAAATCATGCCCAGAATTTCCTGTGGTTGCACAGCATCTTCTAGCCACTATTTTTCCAAATTTAGCTCTACTTACATCTCTCATAAATCTTATACATATATATCTATCATGAATTAGAGTTGTCCCCCAACACAGCTTCATCAAGTGTCATTCTTAATTTTCACACTACTACTATCGCAAATCATGCCCTCTACAACCCCAATGTATGATTGAAGCCAACACTACGAAAATTGGTCACACTATCAAAACTTTTGAGAAATGATTCAAATCACAATGTTGTTATATATGACAAAATTACATTACAAGATTTCAAAACTTGATCTGAAGTAGTTGGGACAAGGGATGAATAAAGGTTGATTGAGATACTTAAAGCCTAAAGCTATTAGAGTTTTGGTAAGATGAAGTAGTTGGGACAAGGGATGAATAAAAGTTGATTGAGATAATTAAATCTAAAGCTATTAGAGTTCTAGTAAGGTAAAACATAAAAAGAGATCCATAGTGTTTCTGGACAAATATGTTTCAAAGATTAATTTAAAGAATAATATACTATGTTTCAATAGATATCTAATTGTAAATAATTTTTTTTTACAATTAGACAAATACTTATTTTTTTTACAATTTTTTTTACTCTATTTCAATAGATATCTAATTGTAGACAAATACTTTTTGATCAATTATGACAATGCCTTGACTGCCAAATTGTTCCCAAATCTGTGGTTGAAATAATTTCAAAAATTTTATATCAATTTGTGGTTCAAAAATAATATGGTTACAATCTGTCTTCAACAAATCAGGGCATATATATATACATATATGAAATCAAAGTGAAATCAAAGTTAATATACATATATATATATATATAGAGAGAGAGAGAGAGAGAATTGACTTGTGCACACCACAGATCTGTCGAGAAAACACAGAGAGTCGAGAGAAGCGAGTCCGGTGGGAAGGCGGACGGGTCGCCGGGTTGTAGAAGCTGCGCTCGTCGGGTCGCCGGGGTTGTAGAAGCTGCGTTCAACCTTGATCGTTGCCGGGGTTGGAGAGCAGCGTTTGTTCAGTCGGGTCGCTGGTGTTGCAGAGCTACGCTCGTCGGGGAGGTCGCCTAGGAAAGGCACAACAGAGAAGAGAAGGAAGAATAGAGAGAGAGTCTTCAAATGTATTGTGCTGTGAAAATGAATTTGAAATTTGAAATGAATAAGAAAGAGGGAGAAATGGGCGAGTTTGCATCCATTTTTCACGTAGGCAGCCACGTCATTAGTGCTAATTTAGTGATGAACGTTTAGAGGTCGGGAGCATTTTTGATATTTTAATACAAGCCAACATTTGTCTTTTCTAGGTACTGAATTGATGTTTGAGTACCGTGAAAGGAATAAAAAAAAAATTATATATATATATATTCACTAAGTTGTACTGTAAGATTGGGCTTGTGGGGGGCCACCACGAGTCCCGTTTTGATAATCCGAACCATTCAATGTGTAGAACTCGTCCAGTACTATATACCCGTAAAAAAATCACGTTGATTGGATATCGCTAATTACATGATCAAATTAGTTTTGTATAAAAAATGGATGGTGTTACAGTTAACGGTTGACAAAAAAACTAATCCGATCAGATAGTTATAGATATCCGATCAACGTGAGTTCTAACAAATATATAATACTCAACAAGTTGTACACATTGAACGGTTCCGATTAGCAAAACGGGACCCGTGGTGGCCCCCACTGGCCAAAGAGCATTGTCCAAATGGTTGCCCGAAAAGGAGGCAACCATTTCCTATTACACCACTCTGCAAACCTTGCTGCCATCGTGTAGTCTACACTGTCAAAACTTTTCCTACACACTAATTTATACAATTTTTTAATACGTATTTTTTCGTAAAAAAATCAAAAAGTTAACACAAATATTCATATTTTTTTTCTTAACTTTTTAGTTAAAAAAGACAAAAAGTATACTTATTTAAGACATGTCAAGTGATCCCTAAATCTTGTGTGCAGCATTAGAGTGGAATAATAATTGGAGAAATAATTTGAAAAATAATTTATCAATTTATGAAAAAATTTATAATTTTAATTATTAATCAGCTTGCTTGGTTGTGTTTTTTCAAAAATATTTTTCAGAAAATTTTACTTTCTTACTTTTCGTATTTTTTTTGTTTTTATTAAATTTTTTAATATTTTAAGTAATTTTTTTTACTTTTTAGATATACCTAACATAAATATACCTAAAAAGTAAAAAAATTGTGAAAAAAACTTTTTAAAAATTCACTAAATACCAAAAATATAAAAAATACAAAAATTCAGTACCTTTTTGTATTTTTTATGTATTTATTAAAATTTTAAAATATTTTTTTACAAATTTTTACTTTTTAGATACATTTAAGTAAAATATATCTAAAAAGATAAAAAAAAAGGTTTAAAATTTTAAAAATATTCACTAAAAATAAAAAATACGAAAATCAAAAAACTAAATTTTAAAAAAATTTAATCTAAAAAATTTAAACCAAACACACTGAATATTTATAAAATTTTACTGATGTGATATTTTCGTATAATAATTTCGGTAGAGAGAGAAGAAGAGAGTCGGAAACGAATTGGAGGCGTATAGGATAGGACAAACCGACCACCCAAAATCCTGACCAATGAGGTATGCTTCCATCACATCACAACGCCACGTGGAGTAATAATAGCGCATGGCCATGGGACTAGTCCAACTCCCAACATATGTGGCCCCCACCACTTAACCGACCGCAAACACCCTTCTCGTCCTTCTCATTCTCAGCTTCGTTTGGCACGTGGATTTTGGCTAAATTATTTTTTAAAAAATAAAATAAATTAATAAAATAAAATATCATATTAAATTATAATTATTTAATCTTTTTTCTTATAAAAATTAAAAAAAATCAATCTAAACAAATTTTTTAACCGAAATTAAAATAATCAAAAAAAAATTAAAAAATAACTTAAAAAAAAGTGCCGTGCCAAATGCAGCTCAGTCCCTCACTCCCCTAATCTTTTCCCATACCTCTTGTCCGTACAACAATCTCCCCGCCTCCCAATCCATTAAAAAAACTAAAAAACAAAAAATTAAAAACTAATTAACATAACCTTAGGGACCACATGTTTCGCGTCTGTTAAAATAACACATGCTATTTTATTTTAATATATTATTTTATTTAATTTATAATCATCTTTTTTAGGTTAAATTATTTTTTTATTATATTATTTTAAATTCAGTCCATATTTCACTTTTTTTAAAAAAAATTAAAAAATATACTTAATTATTTCAAATACCTCCTAAAAGAATTCGTCGCTAATTCATCAAATTGATCTCTCCGTCACTGCATTCCAGGTAGCATGCATTGTTATGATTCAACAATACTAAAATAAATATCACTAATAGTATTAATACATTGGAAATATAAAAAAAAAAACAAGGCATAGGCATAGGCAGTGAGTAGGACTCACTGTCACATCATTAGTGGTGCTATTAGAGCACTAATTTTAATACTCTCAACCATTTTTCATTATGATTTATTTTGAAAAGTTGATTAGAAGTTAATTTTTTAATTTTTGTTATTTTTTAAAAAAATATAAAAAAAAATAAAAAGATAATATGATCTAAAATAGATTAAGAGGAAAAATTAACTATCAGCTAAGTTTTCAAAACATCCCTATATATTATAAATTAACTAATATATATTTTAAACAAATGTATGAGTGATATTTTCTTATAAAAGATGACTTGTGTATTTGCAATTTTTCACTTATAATAAAATTATTGTGTACATAATGAACACATAAAAGTGTAAGAATATTTAATAATTAAAAAATTTATTTGAAGAGATTTTATTTTATTTTATTTTTGGGTGCTCCGGAAAGGAATTTGAAGAGATGTTGAGTCGGTAGGCAAGCTTCAAAGTTTATTAATGATTCGTTCGTACATTTTTTAAAATTTATTGATTAAAGTGGTTATGTAAAATATTAATAATCGCATGATTAAATTATATTTACTTGTGACTTATTCTAAATATTATAAGGGTTATTTTTGATAAATTTTATTTTTAAATATTTTATTCCATTTAACTCTTATATATATATATATATATATATATATATATATATTAATATATCAATAAGTCCTATTTAATGTAATATGACTATATCATCATTTCTAATTTTTTGTACATATTTCTATTTTGAAATTAATACACAACAACAGTTTCTTATTTTATGAAAAAAAAAAAATCTTTTCTTCATTCTAAAAAGAAAATCTTTCTCTTATTTCATGGAGAAAATCTCTCCCTTATTATAAGGATAAAATCTCTTCCATAGTCCATGAAAAAAACTCAAATTATGAATTTTGAACATTTTTATAATTTGAAATTTTAAAGAATAACAAAACAGCAAATCTAAATAAAACTCAAAATACAATGTGAATGTTCACAGTAAACAATAAAAATACAATCAACTTTTGAAAAAACAAAACACATACTAAAGTACAATGTGAATATTCACAACAAACAACAAACATACAATTAACCTTCGAAAAAATAAAATTCATACCAAAATACAATGTGAATGTTCACAATTTATAATTAACATACAACTAGCCTTAAAAAATAACTTATATCACTGTAAACATTTGCACCACAACGTGAAAACATTAAGCAAAATTGAAAAAAAAATGAAAATCGACTATTTCAATTGTTCAATGATAACAAAAATGATTGTTCAACTAACAGACATAGTAACAAAAATAACAAACATACAATTAACTTTCGAAAAAATAAGTTTATAGCAAAATATAATGTGAATATTTACAATTTACAATTTACAATTAATATACAACTAGTTTAAAAAAAAAATAAACTCCTATCAATGTGAACATTCACACTATAACGTGAAAATATAAAATAAAATTGAAAAAAGTGAAAACCGATTATTTCGATTGTTCAATGGCAACAAAAATGATTGTTCAACCAATAAGTATAATAAAAAAAAAAATAACTTTCGAAAAAACTTTGAAAAAAAAACACATACTAAAATATAATGTGAATATTCACAATTTAAGATTAACATATAACTAACATTAGAAAACGAAATTCATACCAATGTAAACATTCACACTGCAACATGAAACAAAATTGAAAGAAAAAAATTACTATTTCAATTGTTTAATTGTAACTAAAAAAAAAATGATTGTTCAAACAACAAGTATTATAACAAATAACGAATAATATGTGAACATTCATATATTACAAAATATATAATTATGTTTATATCTATATTTCAACACTTATTTTTTTTATTTTCAAATAATATGAAATATGAACATTCACACTGAATGACAAAAAAAAAAAAATGTAAATGACAATAATATAATTAGAAATCCAAAAAAATCTCAATCACTCTAATTATCACCCACATCCTCATCTTCATAATCATTATCATTTTTATAATTATCACTATCATTAACAATCCATTCAATTTTGCCATCTCACAAATTCAAATCAAACCAAACCCACTTTTAAAAAATATGTTTGTAACAAAATTGACTGGACATAAACAGAGCTTCAACTTACAATAATGAAATAATATAGAGTTTCGAATACAGAGTAACAATGGACGAAACACAAAGTGACAATGAAGGAATACGAAATTTCACTGCAATAATAGAGAAACACGAAATTTCACTGCAACAATGAAGGAACATAATATTGCTTCATCACCATGTGTAAACTAAAATTCCTAAACCCTAACACAATAAAACAATATCACAAATATAAATGAAATTGATCCACAAAAAAAAAAACGTGAATAATGATTAATTACCAAAATAAAAATAGCAACAAAATATATATATATATATATCTTTTTTTTATGTAATATATATCAATAATAGATATAAGGGTATAATAATCCAACAAACAATATAAATGAAGAAAATATGACCTTATAGAATAAAAATATAAATACATAAGATTAAGTAAGTTATAATTTTTCTTGGTGAACTTATTGAGTTAGAATATCCCTAAATAAAATTTATCAATAAAATGTTCTCAAACCAAAAATTATTATAATTTTTTTTCAATAAACTTTATAATTGAGAACAATTATTACCTGAATAATTTTTTTTCAATAAATTTTATATAAAAATTAATAATTTAGATCAACAAAGTGATCCTCAAAAATGAAGCCTAACGAGTCTAAGCTCTAACAACACGTCTCCCCCTTAAACAAGGCACGATTTCCTACTCACATTATCGAACAAAAACCTATGAAAAAACACACACACAAATTAGATAAAGAAATCAATGGCTCAAAATTCTATATATTTGCTTTAATTAAGTTTAATTTCCAAATACAATAATAACCAAAACTCCCCAAAAAAAACGAATTAAAAACAAAAAAACATGGAAATGAAAGTTGGTTGCAGATGAACATTGTGAAAGACAAAACCCAACTCCTTCCAAAATCAACCCAAAAGAAAATACAAAAACAAAGAAAGAAAGAAAGAAAGAAATTAATTTACATGGAAGAACAATCATAATACCCATTTTTTCTTCCTTTTTTTTTCCTCTGAAATTTTGAGTTAAATAGTGAGATTATGGGAGATAAAGATGGTGATCGCTGTCATTCCACTGAGTTTGACTCCAGTAAGCTTGATCAACGGTTCCAGTAAAATCAAACAACCCTTGATCTCCACCAACTTGCCAATCAAGTCCTCCTAGCCCACCGCTGTTCTCTCTGTTCTGCATACCCGATAAATCAACCTCAGCAGTCTGATCCAGAAACCCGGCCGAGATCTGCTGCATCTTCAATTCATTAGGTACCGAACACCCCATCTTCTCCTGCTGTTCCTGCCATATCTGATTCGAATTCTGATTCTGCACAACCGGTCCCTGATTCTGTTGGTGCAACCGGTACGCCGAAGCCGAAATGTCAGCGATGTTGAACCCTAGAATCGACGATGAATCGTTGGATGACGTCATCAGGCTGGTGAAACTACCTCCGATCTCCGGGAAGATCCCGCCGTCCGATGATGACTGATCGATCAACGGCGGATGATGATGATGACGGAAGCTAGGGTTTGTAGCTTGTGGAATACTATTGAAGAACCTCGAGTCCGGAAAGTTGAGTAATGTCGACGCCGATGTCGAAGAGCTCGCCGACGCTACCTCGACGGTGGACGGCGGTGCGGCGGTGGTTGAGGCGGTGAGGCTGGAGCTCTCGCTGCTGGAATGAGAGTTCGATTTGCGATCTCGAGGCGCATCGGCGGTGGCGGTGGCGGTGGCGGAGGAGGTTTTAGGCTTAGAGCGTTTGGTTTTCCGGCAGCCGCCGCCGACGGGAACGTTGCGGAGGACGCCGCCTTTGGTCCAGTACCGGCGGCAGTTCTTGCAGAAGTGGCGGGGCTGAGAGAGGTTGTAGTTGTTGTAGTAGCAGAACTTGGTGTTGAGAGAATCGCACCGGGGACACTTCAAGGACTGGTGGTTCTGGTGGTGGTGCGGCCTCATACGCCTGTCTCCGCCGCCGCCGCCTCCAATCGAATGTATATCTTGCATTTCAAAGCTCAAAAAAAAATTCACTGGCTCTGCAACTCTTGAATGAATCACCACAAATCACTCAAATTCACAACGACTCGTCGTGAAAGATTGATTTTCCGGCCAATTTTCACCTGAGAGAGCTTGAATTCGGAGACTCTGAAAGCTCTCTCTGTCGATTATCTGTGACTGATAATTGTAAGGAGTTTCTGAACTCTGACAAATATCCCCCAACATATCTTCCATCTATCTCTCCCTCTATTATGGAAGTGAAAATTACGTAATTGGCCTTATAATGAGGACAAAATTACTGTTGTGGCGCATGTATGCTGAAATTACCATGGCAACCCTATGGATATAGGGACTGTAGGGAGGCTGATTCACATGACTATGAGTGGAAAATTACAGTAACACTAACAGAAATTTGGATGATCGACAGTATAGTTAACATTATAAAAAAAATATTATTTGGTTTTAGTTTTTTAAATTCACTTATTTTAAAACTGAACTTTTTATTTTTTTTTGTTTTTTTTTTATTTTTAATGAATATTTTTTAAATTTTAAATAATTTTTTTATTTTTATAGATACACTTTACTTAAATATATCTAAATAGTAAATATTTATGAAAAAATATTTTAAAAAATTAATAAATACACAAAAATATGAAAATGTACTAAATTTTCATTTTTTTTTGTATTTTTTTGGTATTTAGTATATTTTTTAAAGATTTTTTTCACAAATATTATACTTTTTAAGTGTGTTTATGTTAGGTGTGTCTAAAATTTTTTTAAAAAAATTACTTAAAATATTAAAAAAATTTATTAAAAACATCAAAATACAAAAAATTAAAAGTAAAATTTTCTTAAAATTATTTTCTGAAAATTAGAACCGAACAAGCTGATTATAGAGTTATGTTATTACTCAGCAATGCTACAGAACACATAAATCAAACATAAAATTGTTTTAAAAAGTATGTTAAAAATAAATTTTTTAACTTTTTAAATTCTTTTTTATAAAAATGTATGAAAAAAAATATAGAGGTGATGTGACTCAAAAAAGACTACAGAAATTGTTCACTAAATGATCATCTAAACAATTGGAAGACACCATAACAATCGTGGTCGACAAACACTAGCTGATTGTTTAGGTGGTTGTCCAACTGGTCATCCAGGACAGTAATTGAATTCATAGTTTCTGTGCTTCAATCTGCATTCCATCATCTGTGCTCCTAGACATTTTTGTGCTATTACTACATAACATGTATAAATGGTGCTCTCTCTACGAATAAAGAATTACAAAACATGTAAGTTCATTTATATTTATCTTATAACTATCAAAGAAATATGAATAAGAATTGTTTTATTTATAAAGTTTTGTCATAGATCGAAAATATCATATAAATAATATGAAGGATAACATTCGAGTTGCCACATTATACGGTCAAACAACAGTGCCAATTGGGTGGTTAGTATCTAAAATTAGCCGATAGCCAAGCTCATGTAGTGGCTAGCTAAGGTCGGGAGTAAATCCACATTAAGTAAAAACATATTTATCCTGTTAAAATATCACAAACATGAGACATGATCCCAACTAAAATAGAACAGAACATAAAGTGGGTGTTTAGGAAGTGGCTATTTTAATAGGTTATTTTAGTTTTTGTATTTGGAAAGATTGGATGGATTTTTATTTAAGTTGGTGTATTGAAAAATGTGTTGAAATGATGTTTGAAATTAAAATGACAAATTTGTCCATAACCTTACATTTTTCAAAATTAATTTAAAGGGGTAAAATTGTAATTTACTAACTTATCACTGTGACAGCTCATTGCCGACCTAAATTTTTTTTTTTTTTTTTAATCATTGGGTTAGAGGGAGGTTGTAGCCTAGCAGGCAGAACTAATTGCTAGGCTTCAATAACAGCAGCAACCACAACAAGCCAGAGCATCTACTTTGCATCCACCCCCACCACCACCAAGTATTGGTTAAAATAAGAGTAAATCCACATTAAATAAAATCTATTTATCTCTATGGAAATATTACAAACATGGGACACAATTTCAACTAAAACAGAGTTAAACGAGAAATTGCGATTACATCAAGAATAAATCGACTTTAAGTACAAATGCATTTCTCTATTGGAATATCATAAACATGTGTAATAATATCCCAATTAAAGCATAACAAGACGGGAAATGGAGCATCTCCCAACAACATATTCTCTGGTATTATCTCCACCGTATGATATATTTCTATAAATGTTTATAGATATTTCAATAAATATTTTTCTCTTTATTTTTATCGAAATGTTGATGGGTACAACGTTGGATTGGAAAAATTATTAGTTAGTTTTGAAATGTCACATGATCATATTTTATATTATTCACAATTCATTAAGTCTCTTTATATTTCTTAATTAATTAGCATATATTTATAAATCTTATTTTTTTTACTAATTACAACACCATTAAAATATTCAATAATGGTACATTTTTTTAATTTTAAAATTTTAATTAAATTTTAATAATATGACAAAGAATAAATATAAAAAAAAAAATCAAAATATCACAATCAGCATAAGACCACACGCTTGGAGCTCCAAATTAAGGATGGCAATTCGAACCCAGTCCGACGAAACCCGACCCCCCAATCCCGATTTAAGCGATTTTTTTCCGAAAAATATCCCCAACGGGATAGGGATGGTATTCAAAAATCAATCTCCGATCAGTTTCGGGTCGGGGACGGGGATAAGTGTCCCAGTGCCGTACCCGTCCCAGGTCCCGTCCCTGTTTATCCTTGAAGCAAAATTACTATTTTACCCCTTTATATATATATAAACCAAACACTTCTCTCTCTCTCTCAGTCTTACGCGTCTCAGCTCTCTCCCCCACTCACGTCCCTCATTTCTCCGCCCTCACTCACTGACTTAGATCTCTCTGAGTCTCACCACCACTTCTCTCATCTCTCTCTCCCTCTCTCTTTCATCTCTCTCATTTCTTATCAGCATCAGCATCATCCAGATCCACCACTACCACCGATCTGAAGCCACCACCACCACCGATCCCTCCGTTGCCACCGATCTGAAGCCATGACCATGACTAGGACCATAAAGCCACCGATCGATGTCTTGATTAGTGGACTATGAACAGATCGTGGTCTGATCGATGTCCGTGAAGCCCCCTGTCTCTCTCTCTATATATATATATATATATATCTATTGTTGATTTATGAACAATTTTTTTTTTTTGGTTCCAAGTTGTTATCTATATTATATCTGTTGTTGTTAATGAACAATATTATATCTGTTGTTGTTGATGAATAATATTATATCTGTTGTGTGTGTGTGCATGTGTGTGTGTTAAACAGATCTATATACATACATATTAATTTTATTTTTTTTTTGCTCTTGTGTTTTATGTGTGTTGAACAAATTTGTCAGAGATTTTTTGGAGTCAGAAAACTCGATCCTCATTAGAGGATGGGGACGGGGGAGGTGAAGGATTCCTCGTCAGGGATTAGAGTAGGAGCCAAAAATTTTATTACTGTCAAAGGTCGGGAACGGAGAGGGTCATCTCTGGCCCCGTCCCACCCGTTCCGTTGTAATTCCTACTCCTAATTCAGAAGAACTCCAAACATTTTTATAAAGTATAATCTGACGGTGCCCAAAGATTAAGGTCAATTTTGGCTAACCTAAAAAAATGCACTTATTTCATCTTTTTATCTTTTTTAAGTCACATCGATCAACATTTCCTCTCTATTTTTTTTACACATAATACAAAAAAAAATTAAAAAATACACTTATTTAGTCTTTCCACACTTGACCTAATTAACTTCTGGTTGAACTGGGGGAGTCGGTCCGTAGTACGTTTTCCGTGGCGAGGGATCGTCCGTCGGTGAGTGACACGTGGACGGCGGAGGAGATGGAATTGATGCTGTCCACAAATCAGGCTTTGTCGGTTTGTCGGCCACCTTTGGTAACCTGCCGTTGTGTTCTGGTATCTCCGTTGTCAGTTACAACTGGTCCAGAGTCTGCGTTGGTCCTCTCTGATTGGTCAGTTCACTGGCATTGCTTTATCTGTGATACGATTTTTGTTTTGTTAAAACGGTACCGGGCCAGTGTTTTTGCTACTGTGCTATTGACTCTGACCTGACCTGTGATACTCTGCTATTTTTCAATACTACTATACTACATGAAACTCTTCTGTTTGGGTTCTATGCAGATGCGGGGAAAAAAAAAAGAGGAGAAAAATAAGAGGAGGTTTATATAAATGGTGGGTAAAAGGATGAGGTTAAAAAATGAATATTAAAATTAAGATTTTGTTTGGAAATTTAATTATTTTAATTAATTTTTTAATTTTTTTGACTATTTTATGAAATGAAAAAAAGTTATATTTGAAATGATTTGTAATTTTTTTTTTTTGTAATTAAATAGATAGTTATGAGAGAAAAAATAATTTATTAATATGTCAGATGTAAAATTTTATCTTATTAATTATTTTAATTTTTTGTTGTTGTCTTTATTAGCTATTTTAACCAAATTTTTTTATGCCAAACACCCCCTAAATTAGGTGAAATTAAAATTAGCATAAAAAATTTACTTGGTATGTAAAAAATAAAAAAAAAAATTCAAGACAACCATTGTAATATTGGTTTTATAGGTAAGTAATCAAAAAACCGCAAGATGGTTTGTGGCTAAAATAGTCACAAAAGACAAAATATGCTATTTTAACCACAACAAACAAAACATCACATCCAATCCATAATCATTACACTATTCTCTCACAAAAAAAGTTAAAAAAGTTAAAAAGTCAAAAAGTTCTTCCCAAACCAAACTTTTTAACCCAGGCTAAAATAGTCAAAAAGTCAAAAAGCCAACCCACTTCCCAAACCAACCCTACAAAAATTAAAGGGTTTCAAGTTGGAGTTTGGATTATGTTGGTCTATTTTGGATCAAATTTCAGTAATTCAAACTATTTATTTTTAGAATTTCTTGAATAAAATATTTATACAAAAATTAAGATGATCGAATATGAGTAACTATATGTTTAAATCACATTTGTATTACAAATAATGAATCACTATTCTTGAAATTATATTTATCATCTATTTTTATAAGACAAATTTAATTCAAACATGTAATTTACTAATCTAACTCTAGTGTCTTTTGGGAAAAACATAAAAAGCCAATAGTCAGTTTTTAATCTATTTTATGTCACATTATTCTCTCTACTTTTTTTTATACATTTTTTAAAAAATAATCATGTTT